AACAATTATTAAAATTAAATATCTTACAAGCAACAAGAAAAAAAAAACAACTCCAATACAAAATCAGCGACCCCGTGAGTAATGAACTCTACATCACAATTTTCAACAAGTTGTTTCCGGAGAATAAATCAAGATACAAAAACTTCCGCAATGTGACATAATCATTAAAGGAGCCGCTCATATTTAAGCAAAAAGAAAGCTTTGAATCGATAAAAAATTTGCAAAACAAAAGATAGACAACAAAAAAAACTCTTTCAAGTCATAGCATGATCTGAAAATTTTCAAAAAATATATAACCAACCAGAAGTTTTTAACAGATGTCAAGTAAGCGCCGAGAACGTCGAATCTGAATACAATACACAAGAAGAATGAAGCCGAAAAATAAGAAGAATCAAAAACAACCAAGCGCAAATAATAATTCGCTATTATTTCAGTAAATTTCGTATTTTTCCCTTAAAGACTGATTTACTGGCAAAAGTTCTATTCACATAACAATTGACAGTTGTGACGCTAAACCAAAGAGCGGCAATTTTGCCCATTTTAGCGTTGGCATTGTTCCAATGATGCGCAAGACTTTCTTTCGTGGTTGATAATAACCAAGATATAAATTTCTTTCTTAATAGCAGCTAAATATTTGCGAATAAATATTTTTTTTCTATTTCTATTTTACAACAGTAGATCAATAAGGTAAAACAGTCATACTACAAGCGATTATTTTTTTTTTTGTCTAATAGCAGTACTAAACAACAAGAAAACAAAAAAAGTGCTCTATTTATTAAAATTTATTTAATATTTTTTTCCAAAATGGTTATATCTGTATATTTAAATTTAGCAGCTGTATGTTTGTACTATATTTAAAAGCGATTACGGTAATCAGATGGGAAAACGACTTGGTGCATCGAACGTTTTTTGGACAACATTTGGTCAGTAAATAGCGATTAACAAGTTTTTTTTTCTCCTTCTTCTTCTTCTTCTTCTTGTTCTTCTTCTCCTTCTCGTTCTTCATTTTTTCTTTTTTCTTTTTTTTTTTT